AACACTCCTAATGGTTCATCCATTGACCTTGTTTAAGAGACGCTAGAACCTCTCATTGATAATCATGAAGAGTCCTGGTTTGTTCCCAAGTGGCATGTTTGGCGTCTTGAGCACATGATTTCTGCAGCCATAGCCACTGTTGGTTAGCCTCCACTTGCAGGTGAGAGTTGAACCTTTTGTTCCTCCTCTACATTATTATTCTTGAAGAATTGGTCGACCCTTGTGAAACATTCCGTTTGGTCATTTCCTGCGAACCGGGAAATTTTCATTTTGGTGTAGCGAGCAGGGCAGATGAGCGATCTTCCACTCCTCCCTTAGACCACTCTCTCCTGTCTCTCTGCACCTACTCCAAATCTTGGAAATCCCTATCTATCAGTTCAAACAACAAAGGAAACAAATCCCATAACTACTGGTTGACTTGAGGACAGACAGGTGAATCCTTTATTCCTATTCCAAACGCCATCGAATCAAAACATATTCCTAAGCAAGCAGCAGCAGCAGCAGCAGCAACTAACCCAGTCGTTGCATTGCATGGCTCATGGCCGTTGGTTGTCGCGTCATGTCCCGTCAGCTCATCATTTAACTCTTTAAATCTCTATCTATAGACTATAGTCGAGCCGGCTCAAGATAGGGTGAGTAACTTTAGGGTAAGTAACAATGAGTAACCAAATCTGGACCCTTCTTTAAAGTGACTGTAGATCTAAAGGTGGAGAATTAAAAGAATTTATTTTCCCTAGTTTTCTTAACTGGATCATATCTTCTTCATTCTAACTCGGATTTCAAATTTTTTTGCATAGATGGAACGAGTTCGTTGTGCTCTGCAAAATGATATCCATTTTCAATATATTTTGAGAAAAAAAAGTTTTATCTCTCTAGTTACCAACTCCATACCATATGGTATCTCCTTCGTTGTTTAGTCATTTTCGGAAATTTTTGCACAAAAGGAACGATTTAATCATGATCTATTGGATTTCAAAATTTTCTGGGCGAAAAAATTTCAAACCTCTCGTTACCAACTCCATACCACCCTGGTATGAGGTGGTATTTTTTATACCATTTGGTATGCTGTTATTTAATACCATATGGTATTGACTGGTATTAAATAACAGCATATGGTATTGACTATACCATATGGTATTGACTGGTATTTTCATACCATATGGCATGTTGTTATTTAATACCAGTCAATACCATATGGTATAGACTGGTAATAATTGGCAAAAAAAAATTTGTTCCAAAAAATATCAAAGTGGATATCATTTTGAAGAGCACAATTAATCTGATCTAACTGTGCAAAAAAAAATAAATTCCGAGTTAAAACGAGTGAGAAATCGTCCGTTAAAGATTAAGGGAAAGAAAATTAATGATTTTTCCAGGAGAGAGAAGGAGGCGCTGATGTGGCAGATTCTTATTGAGTTATGCATGGGGTAACTCACCACAAGGTTACTCACCGGATCTGCTCCCAGTCGAGCCAATTTGATTGTTGAATCACGTATTTAGAGCTTTCTACTCTAATTGAATCAGCCATTCTATATCTTATTTTCCCCTGCTCGCGTGTTTTTAGAAGATCTGGTAGTTGTGTTTGAGGGTAAAATACCTTAGATATCACTTAAGTTTCATAATTGGGGCAGGCGTACCACTTAAGTTTGAATAGGGCGTCGGGTATTACTGAATTCTCTATTATTTGTGAACCCGATACTACTTAAGTTTAATGTTAAGTGCATTCCGTTAAAGTTAACAGAATATTCCAAGAATATTCTGTTTTCTACATTTCTTAATTGGTCATTCTACTTTTCTTATTGTAAAAAATCATTTTGACTTATGAAAAACATCAATTTTTATTATTTAATTGGTATCCTCTTTTGAAAACTTGATACAAAATTAATGGGTAAATTTGCTCGGTTGGTCACTCAGATTACTAAAAACATTCATGTTTGATCACTACAAATATTTAATTCTGTTAGTGGTCACTAGAATTAGTTTGATGGTTCATATTTAATTCTGTTACTCTAATATGTTTATTTCTTTCTGACTATGTTCCATTTATCCTTCTTTGGTCTTGATGTATTGATGATCGATTAGATTATATTTTAACTATTTTTAATGGTACTTCTTATCGGATTAGTGATTTAAATAGATCTTCTAATATTGATTTTAAATATTTATTATTATATTCTATAAATTTATTCTTCTTCTTGATATTTGTTATATTTTTACTAACTTATCTATTTTATTAAAAAATTTGATTAGTCATTTAAGTAATATTATGTTTAAAAGGTTTTTTTTAATTTCTATATTAGATAAAAACTGTTGAAATATAGTTTTGGATGTTTTTAAAATTTTTGGGTACCAAAAAGTAATTAAAATTTTGGGTTGGATGAAAAACTAGACGGATGCACATTTTGGTGACTTTAATGATACTCGACGCCCTATTCAAAGTTAAGTGGTATGTCTGGCCCAATTCTCAAACTTTAGTGGTACACGAGGTATTTTACCCTTGTGTTTGACGACCATCCTTCAAGTCGAGAAATTCAATTTAATTTAAAAGGAGTAGATTAATTAAGGGATAATACCACTAGGAAACCCGAACTATTAAGAATGTGTCATTTCTGTCCTAACGTATCCAATATGACATTTGTGTCCTAAACTATTTTTTTCGTTAGAGTTGACCAGCGTTGACCGTAAGTATTTAACAAATGGCACATTGTTAATAGTTCGGGTTATGACATAAATTACACAAAACTATAATAGGTTGGGACATAAATGACGCAAAACTATAATAGGTTGGGACACAAATGTCATATTAGATACTTTAGGACACAAATGTCACATTCTTAATAGTTCGGGTTTCCTAGTGGTATTAGCCCATTAATTAATGGGTTCCAATTTATAACCTTAGCAAGTTGTGATATATATAATTACTAGTACTAGCTTTTAACCCGACCAGTTGGCCGGAAATTTTATAATTCAATTAATAGGGTTTTCATGGCCCTCCCTTTCCGAAAGGAAGAACATGGTTTTTTTTCTTTTCCGTATTTTTTAGTAAATTACTCTTTTCGATTGGTAAATGCCATAACAAAACGGTTCTCATATAGTTTTTATTCTAGTATATAATAGAATTTTTAATTTCAGTAGTCATTTTCGAAGTTAACTTAGTTTTTGAAAAAAAGAATTAATAGTCTAATCAAACTATTCAATCATCCAATCACATCATAAACAAAACCCACAAACAAAATGAATATTGCACTATTAGTCCTTAACTCCGAAAAAAAATCCTAGAGTACACTAGTTCTTAAAAAAAAAATCAAAAATACATAAGTTATAATCTTTTTTCCAAAAGTATACATGTTTCACATTCATCGTTGTTTACAAATGTAGTGAATATAATCACCGGTTTAGACAAAACGGTGAACATTTCACCGTTTTAGATGAAAACGATGACGTGTTCACCGTCTTTAACTAAAGCGGTTAAGTATTCACCGCGTTTAACCAAAACGGTGAAGACATCACCGTTTAAATTAAACGTTGTGAATTCGTCACTGTTTTAGGGCAAGGAGGGGAACATCTTCACCGCCCTAGGTTACGGCAGTGATTGTTTCCCACGTTTTCCACCCGTGGTAGGTGAAAATTAGGTCACAACCACCTAATGTTCACCTTTTGAGATAAACGCGATGATATTGTTCACCGTTTGAGACAAAGGCGGTGAATGCTGGCCGATTTTCCTATAAATACCACTCCCACCAGCAGTTGTAAAAACGTAATCACTCTCCCTCTTCAAATTTCACCAACTAAAACCGAGCAACATACACAGAATAGGAATTTTCTGTATGATTTAATTTTCGTATTGTAGCCTAATGATGTTTTTAGTAGTTATATTGTTATGTTATGAATTACTTATCGTAGCAAATATGTTCTATTAATTGGGGAATTTATGTGGTTGTTAGTTAGTTGAATTTATGTTATGTTAGTTATAAGATGGAGTAATATTAGTCGTACAATATGGTTTTGGTTAATTCTACTGGAATTAAGCGAATAGTTACTTATTGTAAATTGTAGATATGGGCAAATTCAAGAAGTTTTAGCTTATTATTCGGTGGAATGGAAGGGTGACAAACTCTGACATAGGGATTGATTATGAGGACGGTGTATCCACTATGCTGAAAATTGAGTCGCGGTTCAATTTTCAAGAACTCTGTGATATTTGTGCAGACAGGGTTTATACGAGCGGACAGACAAGACTTGGTAAAATTAGTTATCGGTATCCAGACATGAGTGCAGGAGGGGTTTTGTACCAAGAAGTTGTCATAAACGATGATGAGGCGGTTACGATGATGTTACAGTTCCTCAGCAATAACGGGATGCGGCTTGCAGAGGTGTATGTTGAGACCGAGGCGGTCAGTGAAACTCATTCTCACCAGTATTCTTATGATGATGGTTCTGCAGGAGGGTTCGGATGGGGTGGTAGTTCGAGCAACTACGAAGGAGGTGGTTATACAGGAGGTTACGGAGAGGGTGGTAGTTCAAGCAACTACGGTGGAGGTAGTAGTGCAGGATGGGTGTCATCGGAAGAATACTCACAACGGGATCAACCTGCCGATGGCGTTCAATGGCCTGCTTGGGGGCCAGAGTGGGCTGAAATGGAGTATACCATTCGATCTGGGCGTACTTCACATGAGCGAGAAGACGATGTTGGTGGTGGTGGTCATGTTGATCCATCTGGCCCGAGCTATCCATTCGACTCGAGCGACGATGATACTGAGGAAGATTTGAGATCAGTGAGCGAGGAGGAAGATACTGATGATACTGACTAGGGCTGGAATTTCAGTTACTTTGGTTATAACAGGTAACCGAACGGTCGGTTACCGGTTAACCGAGATGATAGCTGACTCTACTGACAACCGCTCGACAGTCCGCCTCGGTTATCCGACAACCGACCGAACGGTTACCGGTTAGTTGGTCGGTTAACCGCGCTAACCGCACAACACAATCGTCGGAAAGGAATGGCGCCAGCGGAGGAGATGGCGGGGTTGCACAGGCAACAGAGGAGGACTGCTGGCTGTTGGCTGCGAGCAGAGGAGACCAAGGCGAGGTCGCGGCTGCGGAGCGAAGGGGATGGCTGGCGGCGGCTTCGAGTTGGCAGACAAGGGGCTGGCGGCGGCGACATCTCTGCCTCTCTGGTTCGTCGTCGTCGCGGCTGCTAGCTTTTCGTGGGCTGGTCTTTGGGGACGAGATGGCGGAGCAGAAGGGCGCGCGAGTTGGGGAGGGAGATGGCGGAGAGCGGTGGCGTCGCTCTCGTGCTCCGCTGGGGCCGCCTGGGAGTGGGAAGAAGAGAGAACAATGGTCTCTTCGCCATTCAGGGCTGGGCAGGCGGCAGCGAGAGAGGGTTCAGGGCTGGGTATCGTCGCGATGCAGAGAGAAGAGAAGGGAAGGCGGCATCGATTAGGGTTAGGCTTCGTCAATTTTAGGAAATAGGAAGTGGGGGTGGGGCGACGTCGCGGAATGAGGGGAGGGGGTTAATTTCTCGGTTAGCCGGTTAACCGGCGTAGCTAACCCAACTACCGACAACCGCCCGCAGATGATTTTTCCGGTTAGTCGGTTAACCGATAACCGCCGGTTATCGGTCTAACCGGCTGGTTAACCGGCAACCGATAACCGAACGTCCAGCCCTAATACCGACGACGAGGCGGCATTTCGTGAGGCACCGACGCCATACTACACACAGGTTCCAACTTAATTTTTACATAGTCAGAATGATGCCCCCGACTTTGTCCCTATGCCAGTGTATAATCCGACGGCCATTTTGGAGGTGGGTATGGCGTTCTCATCGAAGGACACTGTGCATGATGCTTTTACCGAAGAGGCCTTGAGGCGCAATTTCGAGTGGAAGGTAAAATATTCTGACAGTAAACAACTACATGTCATATGCAAGAATGATGCAGAGGGCTGTACGTGGCAACTACGGGCTGCAAATATGAAGAGAAAGGGTGCCTGGGTGATTCGAAAAGCTGAGACCAACCACACTTGCTCCTCGTCCATATGTTCCCAGGATCACAGGCAACTTAAAGCAAAGAAAGTTGGGAGAACTATTAAGCACCTTATCGAAGCACAACCAGATATCAAGGTCAAAGCTATCATGACCGAGGTGAAGGATTGAAATTCTTACACGATAAGGTACAAAAAATCATGGCATGGAAAGCAGAAAGCCATGGTTGAGGTGTATGGTGATTGGGAGGATTCGTATGCTTTACTCCCTAGACTTATGGCCGCAATGGAGGAGTCCAACCCTGGGACTGTTTTCGTGCCAATATACAACAATGTATACACTGAGGATCAAGTTTGAGTACAGGAGAAGTTGATGTTCCACCGTCTTTTTTGGGATTTCAAACCATGCATTGACGGGTTTTCGTTCTGCATACCAGTTATTCAAGTATTTTAATAACTGTTTACAATTTGAAATGTTGTATTCTTTCCTGCTAAGTAAATTTCATACTAATTATATCCTAATTTTTAAATAGTTTGATGAAACTTTCCTTACTGGGAAGTACAGAGGAACTCTTCTCATTGCCACTGCGTTGATGGAAACAGGTGGATTTTCCCGCTGGCATTTGCATTAGTGGAAGGGGACAACAGCTTAAGTTGGGCATGGTTCTTTGACCAACTACACGAACACGTGACAGAGCGGGAGGGTATTACGATTATATTCGATCGACGCACAGGGATTAGGAATGCCGTGGGTGGTTTTCCTGACGAGTGGGGATGGACATGCCGCTGGTGTATTCGACACTGGCTCGCCAATTTCCAGCACAAATTTGGGAATAAGAAAGACATCAAAAATCAATTGTGGCATGCAGGTAGTAATGTCCTTTAATGCGAGTTAACTATGTATTTAATAATTTGTTATTTATCATGTATTGACCAGTTTGATTTTGTTCACCTTGCAGCGGTTGCACATCAACCAAAAAAGTACGAGCAAAAGATTTAGACGATCCGTCAGACCCACCAAGCTAGAGCAGTATGGGCTGAAGGTCAAGAGTTGGCCATGTGGACGTTCCATATGGACAACGGGGCCAGATGGGGCATTGCAACTACCAACAATGGAGAAAGTATAAATAATGTGTACAAGGGCCTTTGAGCGATGCCTGTTTCTGTCATAGTGGAGATGTCATACTGGAAGGTCAACGAGTGGCGGGTGGCTCGGCTTCAGCTAGCTATAGGGAGGGAGATATCTGGTCATGCGATAGCACATGACGTCTTTGAGCAAATGCAGAAGAACGAAGAAAAATCAAGTAAGCATAAAGTTGTTCTTTTCGACCACAATGAAAGGATATTTGCAGTGGAAACATGAGTATGGGGTGGAGGTAGACGTGGCCACAATCATCAAACGGTTACTCTGCACTATGAATCAGGAGAGTGTACATGTCAAAAGTATCAAAATGAAAGGATACCATGTTCACATGCAATGGCAGTAGCTAAGTCGTTAACCATGAACAGAAACACTCTGGTGAGTCCTTACTACACTGAACAAGCGATACGGAACTCATATGATGCAGCTTTAAGCCCCATGCAAGATGAAGCATATTGGCCTATATACGCTGGGAAGTTGATTATCCCACCGATGGCATGGAGCTCCCTGAAACCTTGAGGCAGGGTTTGTGGAATTGGTTGCTCCAATCGATATTGCCTCAAGGATCGATCGGGTAGGTGCCACTGCACGATGTGCCAGCAAATCAATGGCACCTTGCACAACCACGACTCGTGATCCTGTGGGTGTCTCAGATGATGCAGCTCGACTACCTCACGTGGATATGGGTCCCATGTAACCTATACTCATTCATAATTTGCAATTAGCGACCATTTACATTGAAAAAATTTAAATTGTTAAAATCAATGATAAAGCACGATTACATGGTTCCACCAAGGCTTATCTGACTCGGAACGATAAAACAGTAAAGAGAGCTCAGGTTGATGATCGTTTGTATTTGCTCCTATCCACCTTGTAAGTAAAAGCATTGAATAAATTTAAATTTGGGCTAAGTATGGAATAAATGCAATTTAAATCTATCTAAGAAGCATGGAATAAATTAGCAATTAGGCTAAGTACGTAATATGTAGTAATTTAAATCTAGCTAAGCATGAAATAAATTTGCAATTAGGCTAAGTACGGAATTGGTAGTAATTTAAATCTAGCTAAGTACAGAGCTCCCTATATATGCCAGCTAACACGGTCGATCCCCAACTCTTTTCGCCAATTGCGTCACAATCACTAGTGAACAATGGCAACCATATGCCTTGAATCCACCTGTTTGACTAGTCGGGGAACAGAAATCCACCCACCAAGCCAATGAGGTAGATGCGTTCATAGCGCTCCACTTAATCTTCCGGAGTCTTCTCATTGATTTCCACCTCATTTTGGATGTGAGTTACGAGCCACGGGATTGACATTTGTCCCGCATTCAACAATGGATGCCCTCGTCCTTGAATTGGTGTGGTGGTCGTCATGTCAAATCCCAATTCAGCAAGAATGAGAGGCCTTAACCACCTTCGGGTTTGGTAGTGGTACCAATGATGGCCTCTCCAGAAATCGGCAGCCCGCTGAGGAGAGCGACATCTTTGAGGGTGATCATCATTTCCCTCTCCGGAAGGTGGAAGGTATGGGTTTCGGGGTGCCATCGCTCAGACATTGCCGTAAGCAGATCGTTGTCGATTTCAATCTGCATGAAATGCCTCAGCATACCCAACCCGGTCCTCTCTATATACGGCGCCAACCGATCATGCTAAGCGGGAAGGTTTGTGGTCCCTTTATGAATTAAGCGAATAAGTTATTCCTACAAAAAAATAGGAAAAACATCAATTTGTTAGTTAAACAAAGCAAAATAAAATATTATAAAATAATAAAATAAAGCAAAATAAATCATCAATTTACCGGATTGTTGTCCCAAATTGCACGGGAGCGATGTGCTTCTTGATAGGTTAAATACTTCGTATTTCTTGGCCCATAATGATATACAATCGAGGATTGTATATCTCGGCACCCATCTATAAAAATAAAGTAATGAAATCAGATTGTTTTGATTAAACAAAATGATAAAATCAAATTGTTTCGATTAAAAAAAATCACAAAAGAGGTTCGACGGGTTTATAAGGGACGGGGGCTTTAGGGTATAACTCTAGTAATTCTTTCTGATGTGGAGGATCGGACTTAGCCGCAACCACAAAGCATACTTAGAACGAGACTAGAGTTTATGGATGGAGGGAGAAAGAATTGTAAATGGGTGGTGTGATTTGGAAGAGGGGGGAATGGATCTATTTATAGGGGGAGGGAAGGCTGTACCGAAAATCAATGCAGAGCAATCACCGCCTTCCACAAACACGATGAATACACCGCCTTTATCGAAGACGGTGAAGCGACGCGGATCGAGCTGACGTGGGACGCTGTGAGGCGTCGGATCTGGGAAGAAAACCAAAATTCGCGCCTCACCACATCCAACGGCAGCGGTGAGCGGCTCCGCGACGCAGATCGTCTACCGCGTTGGCTGAAATTTATCCTTAATTGATAATTGTCGAAAACATATTGATCATATGTGCTTCATGAGATTATTTCATGATATGTTTGAGACATATAATGCTTGTTTTAGAACTAATTGACTATGGAATGGCTGTAAAACCATTACCACCAAGTGCCATGAATTCTATGTGTTTTAGGTGAAGAAAATGGATTTACGCAGCCCAGAAAGATTACAAAAGTGTACAGGAAAAATGATTCACCAAGCCATCTGACAAGAAACCGGCTCTTTCTATTTTGGATCATAAGTGATTATTTCCCTTGTTAACAAGCAACATTGGGCCACAGACCCATTCCACTTCTTTCTCCTGGGTGGTTGCGGAAGGGATCAAAAAGAAGAATTGTGAGGAGCCATTCAGGGGAGAATTAAGTGGACGCAGCAAGGGACACTAGGATCGGGGGAAGTTGGACCGAAGAAAGGGACCAGCCAAGAATTCTTTGGACGAACTTCGATTGGAAAACAACAGTAGCGTAGCGACGGGAGCAGCGGAAAATCTCACCCATTCCCTGAGAGACGATACTCGGAATTTCCGGTTTACTACGAGATAGGATTAAAGCATATACATTTTTGCCCTATCAAGTTTTTGGCGCCGTTGCCGGGGACTACCATACCTTATTTTTGGTGATTTTTGTGAGTGA